GGAACAACTTTATTGTCTCTCCGGAGTAACACCGTCCATCCTCCTGAAGAACAAGTCATTGTTAGGTTCACAATGACACTTTCTGAGACACGTTGCTTATACTATTATAAGGAAAGTTTCATAATAAATTAATATATGATGCAGCGCAAAAATTTCATCTCCAAATTCTAAAAATTACCAGTAATTTAGGCAATGTTCAATTGTCAAAATGGTACTGCTAGTGCCACTAGTGTTTCCCATGGTGGATGATAGTGGTGCTGGTAGTGTCACCATGGTGGGTGATAGTGGTGCTGGTAGTGTCACCAGTGTTTCCCGTGGTGGGTGATAGTGGTGCTGGTAGTGTCACCAGTGTTTTCCGTGGTGGGTGATAGTGGTGCTGGTAGTGTCACCTGTGTTTCCCATGGTGGGTGATAGTGGTGCTGGTAGTGTCACCAGTGTTCCCCATGGTGGGTGATAGTGGTGCTGGTAGTGTCACCAGTGTTTCCCATGGTGGGTGATAGTGGTGCTGATAGTGTCACCAGTGTTTCCCATGGTGGGTGATACTGGTGCTGGTAGTGTCACCATGGTGGGTGATAGTGGTGCTGGTAGTGTCACCATGGTGGGTGATAGTGGTGCTGGTAGTGTCACCATGGTGGGTGATAGTGGTGCTGATAGTGTCACCATGGTGGGTGATAGTGGAGCTGGTAGTGTCACCATGGTGGGTGATAGTGGTGCTGGTAGTGTCGCTAGTGTTTCCCATGATGGGTGATATTGGTGCTAGTAGTGTTTCCCGTGGTTGGTGATAGTGGTGCTGGGAGTGTCACCATGGTGGGTGATAGTGGTGCTGGTAGTTCCACCATGGTGGGTGATAGTGGTGCTGGTAGTGTCACTAGTGTTTCCCATGGTGGGTGACAGTGGTGCTGGTAGTGTCACCAGTGTTTCCCATGGTGGGTGATAGTGGTGCTGGTAGTGTCACCATGGTGGGTGACAGTGGTGTTGGTAGTGTCACCAGTGTTCCCATGGTGGGTTATAGTGGTGCTGGTAATGTCACTAGTGTTTCCCATGGTGGGTGATAGTGGTGCTGGTGTCGGAAATTTCCGACACCTCAAACATTAACCTCTTGTACTATAAGATAAAAATATTGTGCTAGGAAAGTAAATATACTAATATTACTAACTAGTAGCGTTGAGAAGCCAAAACCTTCCTTCTATACATTGCCGCTGTTGCATCAGACGCTCCAGTTCCCATGAGAACAAACTCTTTATTCAAGTTGAATTAAACCCAGTCTAACCTCTGCTTAACTTGTTAGGTAATTTAGATTGAAAATTTATTTAGTTTATTAAAATAAATTATAACTCAATTTGAAGAATTTGAAGAAATCTAATACTTCTCACAAGACCGAGATTAGTAATAATCTAAATGTAGGCAATTTCCCGGGATCTACAAGTGACGAATCAAAACTAATTGAAATATATCATGAGGCTAATCGCGAATTATTAGGGGCCAATATGCCTCTCCAGTCGTGGGCCTCCAAAAATAAGCAACTAGATCAGTTAATAGAAACTGAATTTCCAGGATACAAGGTACCTCACACTTTGAAAGTCCTTGGTATAGAATGGGACACTTCCTATGATGAGTTAAACATTAAATCAGTAGAAACTAATAATTCTGATTTAACCATGAGGAAGATATTATCCTTTGTCAGCAAGCCATTTGACCATTTGGGCTTACTCAGCCCCATCTTAATTAAGGGCAAACTCCTCGTGCAGGAATGTTGGCAAAAAAATTGTGTTGGGATGATCCATTGCCTAGTGACTTGCAAGACAAATGGCAGCAGATAACAATAGATTTAAAAATACTCAGTATCATTATATTCCTTCGTAATGCCATAGGACTAAATCAACCTAACAATTTGGATGTATTTTGCGACGCCTCAGAAAAGGCGAATGGCGCTGTAGCCAATTTAGTGAACACAGAGCAGTCCACATAGCTTATTTTTAAAACCAGAGTGGGCCCGCTAAAGAAGCAGTCATTGCCAAAAATGGAATTGACAGCTTTATTGGTAGGTGTTCGATTAGCTCATTACCTGACCAAGACACTAAACAATATTCACTTCTCTGAAATAGTAGTGTGGTCATACAATGAGGCAGTCTTACAATGTGTTAAAAACAACCATAATAAAACACCCTATGTCAGTAATCGTGTTAGGGAGATTAGAGAGTTGTCAGCAGAATACAAACTGAGAAATGTGGCCACAAAAGAAAACCCAGCTGACTTCCTCTCATGAGGATTTACGTTAAGACAATTAGCCAAAGCCGAGATGTGGTTCAATGGACCCCAGTGGTTGGTCAGTAGTCAGTGGCCTAAACAAAAGGCCACAAGTCATAGCGACCAATATTACTGTCCCCACTTCTCAGTGTATCACCAGAACCCTCTCGATCCTTGGCTATTGACCTTAGTCACAACTCAAATATAAGTTAACTACTAAGGATCACCGCAATTGTGTTGGATTTTCTTAATACAATAGAAATCAGAAAGCAATTCCCTAGTCCAACAAAATATTGTGTCAAACAGGCACAGATTGAAACTTATTGGAAAAATTATGAAAATCTCCCTGACAAAATAGTGAAATCTCGGGGCACATGGTTTGACTCAGATAACCATAATATCTTATGATGTGGAGGACGTTAGCAACAAGCGGACGTTGATTTGGCCATAAAGAATCCTATACACCTTCCTCGTTACCACATCATTAGTAAATTAATAGTACTACATTGTCATGAAAATGGCATTTTACATGGTGGAGTGTTAGACACTCTCACTGATTTAAGGCAGAAGTTTTGACTTCCCCAGGGTCGTCAGACTGTTAAATCGATAATTAAAGCTTGTGTAATCTGCCGGAGGTATGACGCTTTGGTGTGTCTTTATCCAGGACATCCACCATTACCTAGAGAACGAATAGTCCACTTTCGTCCCTTTCAGACCACTGGGGTGGATTATACAGGGGCACTTATCTTAACAGGCACTCCGGACAAGGTTCCAGAGAAGGCCTATATATGTCTTTCTACGGGTGCCACCACAAGAGGTGTACATTTAAAAGTAACCTCTGACATGAATGCAGAAGCATTCCTACAAGCCTTTCGAAGGTTTGTGGCACGTCGATCCTGCCCCAAACTGATGATTTTGGATAATGGATCCAATTTTGTGGCAGGAGAGGCCTGCCTAAGGAAGATTTGAAATCATCCAGAGGTATGTGCAGTCTTAAAACAAAAACAGTGCCACTGGAAATTTATACCTCCCAGAGCACCGTGACATGGTGGGTTCTATGAACGCATGGTAGGCACTGTTAAGCGATGTTTGCGAAAAGCCCTTCACCGCCAAAAAAATAGCCTTCCAGAACTCCAGTACTTGGTCACCGAAATAGAAGCACGAGTCAACAACCTACCCCTGACCTATCTCTTGGATGATTTCTCACAAAGAAAACCACTGAGTCCATCCCATCTGATAATTTGGGGCTTTTTTGATCCCCCTAATATCTCTAGAAGATGAGGAGCAGGAAGACTCCCTCACATGACGGAAGGAGTGACTTGGTAGAAAGTTATAAACATCTTTCCAGAGTGATAGGTAAGTGGAATGAAGTGTGGACCCGTGAGTATCTAACCGCTCTGAGAGAGTATCATTATGAAGCTCAAAGGCCAAAGCCCCTACAATAAAATAAATTTAAAACCAGGTGATCTTGTCTTAGTGGACAGCGACGGGCCGAGGTCAGAGTGGCCTGTAAAAAAAATCGTTTCTGTACACGCAGACCACCAGCGAATTTTAGGAATTGTAAGGGTCAGGTGCCGAGGCACGACCACCCTAATAACTTTAGAGAAATTTGTTCTTCTGGAATTGGCAGAACATAAAGCCATTCAAAATATAAACTTACCTGAAGTTCCGAAGGGAAACAACCTTTTAAAAACTAGCCCTCGTTCATCAAGGATTGCGGCACAACAGTGAAAACTTAAACTCAAACAATATTTTAACTCATCATAAGTGCAGACAATTTGTCAATTGAGGTTGAGATGATCTTATGAGTGTGACGGGATGAACCAGTGCCTAGTAACTTAACCAGCTACAAATCCTAGTGACCCTAGCCACTGACCTCACTGTAGAACTTGGAGTCTCTTTGATCCTAAAGGACATGATGATTAATACTTTAACCACTAATTACATGTAATAGTGATGATAGATCAATGATTAAATTTCCCACACCTGTTATACAGACCAGGGACTTCAATCATTTACGTACCGACGTACTGGCTTACTAACATGTAATAAGTTTATAATATCAAGGGGGGGGGGGGGAGAGGGACATCAGGTACGTCAGTACTGAATCATGAACTGCGACCCGTGTTTTCTCTTCCCCGGAGATATGTCGAAAATTTCCGACTCCCCAAATATTAACCTCTAGTACGATAAGATAAAATTACTGTGCTAGGAAATTAAATCTACTAATATTACTAACAAGTAGCATAGTGATGCCTAAACCTTCCTACTATACATGGCCGCTGTTGCATCAGCCGTCCCAGTTCCCACGAAAACAAACTCGGTATTCAAATCGAGTTAAACCCAGTCTAACCTCTGCTTAATTTGTTAGGTAATTTAGATTGGAAATTGATTTAATTCATATAAACAAATTATGCCTCCATCTCTAGGTGTAAATTTCCACAGCCACAATCAGCTGATTACAGCTGCATAAAAGTCACGATTCGTATATTATTTACTTATATGTGTTTTTATTGATGGATACTTCGGTTCCATAATATAAACAGTGGAAAATCGTTTGCCAATGTCTGAAGTGCATTATTAAGACGTGAAATAACGTCGGTAACGTCTTGAAAGTTAATAGAACCAAGTAGAATATCGTGACTTATATACCGAGACCATGCGTCAAGAGGAAGGTAGAAGGCGCAGGAGCACTTGCTCGCTGAGACCTGTAGCAGCAGCATCCCCAGGAAACTTGCCCCTTACCATCGCGTTAATTCGGGAACATCCTTGCAATTTTGAATCGCATATGCCCCT